TTAGCAATGACCCGGCCGTGTTTATGGACCTTATGAATAGGGTCTTTCATCCTTTCGTAGACCAGTTTGTCATTGTGTTTATCGACGACATCCTGTTTTATTCCCGAGACATCGACCACCACAAGGAGCATCTGAGGATTGTGCTGGAGACCCTTCGCCGCGAGAAGCTGTATGCTAAGTTCTCGAAGTGCGAGTTTTGGCTGGATCGTGTGGCATTCCTTGGCCACATTGTGACATCGAGAGGCATTGAGGTGGATCCCAACAAGATCGAGGCAGTGAGTAAATGGGATACGCCAAGGAGTGCAGCTGATGTTCGTAGTTTCCTGGGGTTAGCAGGATACTACCGGAGGTTTATCGAGGGCTTCTCGAAGATAGCCCAACCACTAACCAATCTTACAAAGAAGGTCGTGAGGTTCGAATGGAGTCCTAGGTGTGAGGAGAGTTTCCAGGAGTTGAAGAGGAGACTCACTACCGTGCCCGTTCTATCCATTCCCGACCCTACTTTGGGGTTCACCATCTATAGTGATGCTTCGAAGATGGGTTTGGGATGTGTCCTTGTGCAGCAGGGGAGGGTCGTAGCGTATGCTTCGAGGCAGTTGAAGCCTCACGAGCAGAACTACCCCACTCATGATCTAGAGTTAGCTGCAGTCGTTCACGCCTTGAAGATTTGGCGGCACTACCTCTATGGAGCAAGTGTGAGATTTTCACCGACCACAAGAGCCTAAAGTACATTTTCACTCAGAGGGAGCTGAATATGCAGCAGCGTAGGTGGTTGGAACTGGTCAAGGACTACGATTGCATGATTAGCTACCATCCTGGGAAAGCTAACGTGGTAGCCGATGCCCTTAGTCGAAGGAGTTATGGCCAGTTGTCTTGTCTTCTTACTGAGCAGGATGTCCTTCTTCGGGAGTTCAGCGGCTACAGCTTGAGGTAGTGGAACCACTTTCGACAGCCATGGGTGTGTTGACTACTTCGGTTGTAGGACCAACCCTTCGTGAGAGGATAGTCGCCCAGCAACCGAATGATCGCTTCCTTCGCCGGATGAAGGAGTTGTCGGAAGCCGGTATAGTCGGAGGATTCGCAGTTGCATCTGATGGAGCATTAGTCTTCAAGGGTAGACTATGTGTTCCGAAGGTGTGGGAGCTGCGAAAGGAGATCTTGAGAGAGGCTCATAGTGCCCCGTACACCATCCATCCTGATAGCTCGGAGATGTATCAGGACTTGAGGAAGTCGTTTTGGTGGCGAGGCATGAAGAATCAAGTG